ATATTTAGTTATTTCATATATTCCAAATAAATCTTTGGTTACTACACACACACACACACACACACACACAATTTGTTGGAGGGTAACTATATGTAATTTATTTTAAAATATAATTTTAGTATTTGGTTATGATAGGTTCCATTGTCAAATTTAAACTAACATTCCTTCAGTGTGGAAAAAAAGTCTTTCTTTTCTGGATAATTTAAATTCACTTTTTGGAAATTTGGAAAAAATAGAAAAGTAAAATTTGCCTATCCAGAACCAAACAGTTAACTATTTTATTTCACAATTTTATCTATCAGTCCTCATTCCTTTTGGTACTTCTGAGCAGAAACATAACACAGAGCTCAGGAATTAGATTGTATCATCTACAGCCAAAAAAAAAAAAAACAGTGCAGTAATTCAGAGATAATTTCTGACTACAAATACACAAAATTCCTAAAAGATACATTTTGTTAGCATTAGGTATCTGTATAATGTTTCAGAACAGATTTTTATGCTAGCCTGTAATATAATTATGAGAATAATCACTTCTTATTTATTTTTACTTTTATAGCACTGAGGTAGTATGTAGTGCCATATGCAGAAAACAAGCGCTCGGTCACTAAGCTGTGTCAGCAGTTCAAATAATCATGTTTTAACTATTTAAGAGAGATTTAAAGTGATGGATATCATTGAGGTTTTTAAAATATGAATAACAAACAGAAAGGAAGCTTTCTCACATGAGTTAATAAAAGAGTAACACAATTCTTCCTTTTTTTCCCTTCCTTCCTTCATTTTTCTTTCTTTGCAAAAGACAAATGAACTCATGGCAAGGACAGAGGATAATTCTGCTCATTCAATTATTTTTAACCAGCAGTATATATGAACTAAGAAAGACACTGTTTTTGTCTTCAAGGAGTTTATCATCTAATGACAGTAAGATGATTGCTCTTCAAGGCTATCACTGCCCCAGAAGGTATGTGATGCTCTGCACAGAATGATGAGGAACTCTACCTCTGCTCATACAACAGTGCATCAAAAAACACGCATCAAAAATGGGATAAAAGAGAATACGGCAAATAACTAGTCTAATCTTTTACAGAAAAAGGTAAACAATTGGATGTGTGAGAAAGTAAAAGACCAATAGCAAGGTGTTACACTTAATTTCAACAATAGCAGGAAACACATTACAATAAATATTCAATACTAAGAGACAGATTTCCCACAGACACTTGTGGGAAATCAGAAAAGCTTCATGAACTAATTATCATTTCTCAAAGTCCTTAAAGTATAGGACATAATTTTAATCAGGCAGAGATGAAAGATATAGGGTATATTGTACAGAGGTATCATAAGATGAACAGCCAAACTAAGCTCTGTTTTACTAAAGATAATTTATCTGTATGAGTTAGAGTTAATATACCTGGGAGTTCTTGAAGATAAAACCAGAGTTATGCTGAAATAGAATGTTAGCTCCTTTGAATCCCAAAGGAACAAGTTAGCAATGTATTTTAAACAGAAAAATGGGCTTTGATTTGTAATGACTAATTCAAAAGTGATAAGGTCTATATTTATAGACAGATTAAAAAAGGTTGTCACGACATTATTTACTAAGAGGAATTCGCATTTAATGTTTCCTTTAAGGAACAACAGAACTAGGTATAAATTAGAAATATGGAAAAGCAAGGAATAAACCAACAATGTAAGATTTTGTTCTACAGATGACACATCAAACATGGTATGTGATGGGAAAATGAAAATGAGGTAGAAGTAGTTATGACAAATGACATGAGCTACTGAATTGTAAAATATAGAAGCTGGTGATATATGAGCAAAATGTCCTAAGAGGGCACACCATTATCTTTCAAGCAGAGTATCCAGTGGGTGGAGGGTACAAAAAGTCCTTTTGTGTTCCAAGTACATTTGAATTAGTTTAGCAATTTTATGTTTGGTCAAGACAATGTGTACTTAAAGTTCAGCCTGTAAAAGAATCTCTAGTCTACTTAACGTTTTCTGACCTCTAAGTAGCAAAACTTAAACCCATTACTACCTTATAATAAGATGCTCAAGGATAATCTAGAGATAAAGAGCAAAGCTACTGAAAAGACCTATTGCGAATACTAACAAGTCTTTGAGGGCAATGTAAGGATGGGGGATGTTTTATGTAAAGTAACTGTCAATAGCAGACATTCATGCAATCAGGAGAAAAGCAAGAAATCAATGAATCACAGAATGTGTGAGCTAGCCATATCTGACATGCACTGCATTTCTATCACTGCATATCTCTGCAGAAAAATGGTAATTCACTAAAAATTATTTCCATATTCTTCTCAAAGTAATAGGTGAAGGTTAAGAACAAAGGTGTGCTGTATAATCTGTGAATTCTAAACAGAGAAAACTATTTTTACCTTACCTTATATATAACTTTTGTTTAAAATCCCTTCATGTACTGCCTTCTCATTAAAAAACAATATTGATATATGTGAGTTAAGCAATGATTACTTGATGATCTCCAAGGTCATCAAGCACTGCAGTCTCGGTTTACAAAAACAACGAAGAGTTAGCCCACTATTCAATAAATACCAACATTCATTTCACAAATATACTTGAAAGTATTTTCAATGTTGAAATAATAAAAATAGCAATAAGTATTAACTCCTTTAGTATAAAAATTAAAAATAAAAACAAACAATAAATTTAATTTTAATTTCACAGTATTACAATTGTCATGTAAAAGCAAAAAAGATTGATTAAATAACAGATAATTTAATTACCACAAATTTTTACCAAGTAACAGTAAAGTGTTAATAATGTATTTTGTTATTATGTGCACATACACTGTGCCAAAAAAACAGACATAGAGATAAAGTAACACTCTAGAAAGAACATTTTTAAGAAATGTTTTGGATTTTTTTTTTGTTCTTGTAAATCATCATTTGTTTTTATTGGTTGCCTGCTTGCATTCTAAAGAGAAAGAAAGGGCCTGGAGTTTGGTGTGTTGAGAGATGAGAGGATCGGGAAGGAGTTAGGGAAGGGAAGCCATGATCAGAGTATATTGTATGAAAAAAAATTCAATAAAAATAAATGTTTCTGATAAGCCATAACCACAGGAGTCATTAGCTGTAAGTTATGTTATTGCTATTAACTCTGTTCCCAAGAGCAATGCATGGCAATCAAAACCACCTAGAAAACCTTGCAGAAATGCAAGATCTTGGGCCTTACCTATAATAATACATTTGAAGTGAGGCCCAAGCATTTCAGTTTCTAACATTTTTTTCATGCCATCAAAACAGCAGTTGGTCACACTGGACTCCACCGCTCTGGAACACAGGTCAATAGCTATGGCTGAAATTTGGCTAATTTTTATGAAACAATTTTTAATGGATTCTAAACACATTCATGTATTTATACCTTCTACTTTTCTGCCTTAAAATAAGAGAGATTATTGTGACAAATACAATCTAGCCTATAAAGTCTTAAATATCTACTACTTTGATATGGCCCTTCAGAAAAATATTTCCTAATGTGTACTTTCAATATACTATGCTTTTCTATTTTCTAGTTGAAATTTTTAAAAAGTTATTTATCATTATCAAATATGAAGGGACACATATTATTGGAGTACTTATAAGCTAATCAAATGTTTCCCATCACCCTTTTCCTCCTTCTGGGTTGCCTCATTCAGCCTTGATGAGACTTTTTTCCTAGAGCATCCTGTTATATTATGTTCAGTTGATATCCCTGGGAGGCCTGCTCTTTTCTGAAGGGAAATGGAGGAGCAGTGGATCTGGAGAAGAGGGCAGGTGGAAGGGAAATGGGAGGAGTGATGGAGGGGAGCTGCATTCAGAATATATTGTATGAGAAAAGAATAAAGAAAAACGAAAATTAATAAAATGCCAAAAAATGTTTCCCATCATTTGACTAACGAAAGCTTTTCATTTCCATCATATCAATCTGATAAGTGTCTGATGTATATCATGATGAGGCATCACAATGTTACTAACTAGACCCTAAATGAAAATAATGAGAACATAAAATATGAGATAAATGATGCAAAAATAACTACATGATAGAAAAGTATATTGAAGCTAGTAAGTCTATATTAATAAAATTCCCTATTTTGAGGAATTATAAACAATATAGCAATCTGAGAACTATGGCTAACAATCAAGGATAGGTGGCACAAGGATAAAGTAAATCACAATTTCACTAGCTTATCCAATAATTTTTTTGCATCATTATACATTATTCCCATTCTCCCAGTCCCTGCATTACTGCATAATGGTATCCTGAGAAAGAAGCAGTGGTGATAGGATGCCACAAGAGTTATGGAGAGTTGTAGCTCTAAACAGCAATCCTCCTAGATGGATTTTACTTAAAAAATTATCGTAGCTCTACTAGTAAATTTACTTCAGTCTCTGACATTTCTCATTGTTTTATAAAAGAATGTACTCAAACATTTATACTAGTTGTTGGACTCTTGAAGGCATTTGATCTTGGAATCTCCCGCTTCCTTTTTACTGAAAAATTTGCTCAGGTAATTAGATCACTACTAAAAGGCTCTTAGGTATATTTATTTATGTGTACACACAAAGTGAAACTGTATCTTAGAGCAAAAATCGGACTCTGTTGGATAGAGTGATTTCATTCTGCGAAAGTGACACAGTTTAGACATTCCATTGACGATGAAACTGACAGACAGGATCTTATAATAATGAAGTTAGGAATTCCAATTCATTTTTATATCTTCTGAGAAACAAAACTTATGATACATGCATACTTTTCGAATAAATAATTTGTTTTTTAAGAATTATTTGCTCACTAGGCAGTAGTGGCACGTGCCTTTAATCCAAGGATTTGTGAGTTCAAGGCCAGCCTGGTCTAGAGAGTGAGTTTTAGGACAGGTTCCAAAGCTACACAGAAAAACTCTATCTTGAAAAACTAAAACAAAATTATTTACTCATTTATGAAATATATAATAGCTAGTAATTTAACCAAAGGAAACTGTCAGTCAATACCTGTTGCACGATTGTTGTTAGTTCCAAGCAGAGCTGTATGACGTTATTTCTTGTGACTGAATAGTCTGTCACAGCAGCAAATGGTGACCTACAAAGGTAAAACAAAGACTGTGATTATTCAGAGCAGCTTTTAAAGACCACCAAAATGAAATGGTATAAAATATGATTTTGAATAATAATGAAATAAATTGTTCTAAAGCTTACATAGTGAGAAAACACAATATCTGGGACTCGTTTAGAATAACATGAGTAAAATTAAGAAGAATTAAAATTTAGAAATATATAGTTTTCTTTATATCAAAATTTTCTTCATAAATTTCTTAATATCTAGTTCTCTAATGCTTTTTTAAATAGTCCTTTACTAAATCTAATACAAAGCATTAAGCATCTAAGTATTTATTTCCAAAGAAACCTAACATTTTAAATATGACATTTACTTGAAATACTCATAATTATAGGTTAGCAATATTACTAAAACAATGGTTACTGATGGCTTACTACATGTGAATCACTATTCTAATTGTGACATACATACTTAATTGATATTCACAGTAATTCTTATGAAATAGGCAATCTTTTATTATTTTCGTTTTACAAAAGAAAACAATGAAGGTAGATAATTATCTAGTGATTTGTCTAAGAAACAGAACGAGTGAGTGTGGGAGTTAGTGTTCAGACTCAGAAGTCTGAATCCAGAACCCAGAGTCACATGCAGTTAGACACTAACATAAATTTACCTAGGGTTTATCATTGCTTCAATCTCTTCTAGTGAGAGATTGAAGCAATGATAAATCTCTTCTATGTAGGGAATTGTTCCATTTCATCTATCATGACAATTTTATATATAAAGAACTTTAAAATAAGATAAAATACTTAGCAATATTTAATTGTAGTGGATAAACCTTACAAATCAAATATAGACTGAAAAACAAATCTTAACATTTGCTCAGCATGATTTATATGGAAATTTTATATTTAAGTAATTAAATTTTAGTTAATGAAAAGAAAAGCATATTTATTACAGATAAATATGAGATCTACAATGATGCTCATGGATAATATTCCTTCTACTTTTTAGCATCTAATTCTTGTGTTTTGTTTTCTGTGTATACTTTTTAGGACATGGAGTGTAGAAATATGGTTCAGCAGTTAAGAGTGCTTGCTTACAGAGGACCTGGCTCCATTCCCAGCACCCACATGATGGCTCACAACTCCAGTTCCAGGAGATCCAATACTTTCTTCTGACCTTTGTGGGTACTATATATGCAGGATGTGCAGACATGCACATAAGCTTAACACTCACAAACATAAAATAACAGTAAAGGTTAAACATATTTTTCAAAAGACTTCAGGATACACCAAAAAGGGGGTATTGATGGAGGAAGGTCATTGGCTAAAAAAGGAACTGCCCTGGCCCATTTTATTGGTTAGAGGATAGGTGGGAGGAGTAAACAGAACAGAACGCTGGGAGGAAGAGGAAGTGAGCTCAGAGACTTGACAGCTCTCCTCTAGGGAGCAGACACCTGAGAGAGACGCCATGCCCCGCTCCCGGCATGAAGCTCCGACCCAGGATGGACTACGCTAGAATCTTCCCGGTAAGACCGGTTCTCACAGATTATTAGAGATGGGTTGATCGGGATGTGAGAATTAGCCAGTAAGGGCTAGGGCTAAAGGGCCAAGCAGTGATTAAATGAATACAGTTTGTGTGTTGTTATTTCGGGGCATAAGCTAGCTGAGCAGGCAGCCGGGGTGCTGGGGACGCAGCCCCGTCGCTCTTATTACTTCAGGGTACGTAGAATGTTTGGATGAACTGCTATGTAGAAAACATTTTTTTTGAAAACTAAACATATAATAAGCATATACCTACTAACAATATTTAACAGAAGTTTATATTGCTTATCAGGAAAATAAATTTCTCAATGTAATTGAAAATAAGATTCTATTACATTTAAATTGGTATCAATACTTTCTAAAATTTCTATCACTCAAGGAGAAATACAGATTGATACTCCTACAACCCAAGACAGAGGTGGAACAGTCACGTTCCCTAATGTATTATTAGGACTTAGAATTTGTGCTAATATTTTTTTCTATAATCACTAAAGATTAAACATTGATTCACAGGTAAAGTTAAAATAGAAAACTATCCTGCAGCTTTTCTCACATTATGTTCAACCAAATAATTCACAAATATCCTGATTTCTTAATGTATCACATACTATACCCTATCTATTCTTTTAGCAACATCTCACCCTACTGATAACTTTTTTCCTTCAAATTCTTATTTTCTTTTGCTTCCATGACACTACTTTCATATAAGTTTATTTTTTATTCTAGTTATACTTCTAAATTTGTTCTCATGAGCTAAACTTCTTTCCTCCTCCTCCTCCTCCTCCTTGGACTCACTCTGTAGACCAGGCTGGCCTTGAAGTCAGTTCCTGCCTCTGCCTCTCAAGTGCTAGGATTAAAGGCAACCATGCCAAACATGAACTAAACTTCTAATTGTTTTTCAACTGTTGGTGGTCCACAGGGCTCATTTCTTATTCCATAGCCCTCTATTCCTTCAAAAAAATTATAATGTGTACTGTACAGGCTTGGACATTTTCTGGATAACTATGATATCAGTGAGCAAAGTACAAGAAAAATCTTCGCTGTTGTGAACGACATATTATAGAAAGAACAGTTAATAAGAACAATTGGCCTAGTTTATAAGTAGAATCATATAACATGTTAGGAAGGTCTGTCTATGGGTTTTGAAAAATCAAGTAGGACAATCAAAATACATTCTAGTATTTTCCTTACATTTCCTTTGATTATTCACTGGGTTGGCCAAGTCCGGCATGACTTATTCCTTCCAAATATCCCCATTCTCTGACTCTCCAGCTCTTATCTGACCCGAGGCCTTATTTGTCTATCCAGACATCTTGATATATTCTTATTTTTGCTTCATTAATTAAAATCTCATAGCAGTGGAGAAAATAAAATATATCGTTGGATTATTAGGCTCTATAAAGTACTAGGTCCATTTACTCATTTGGTTTTGAATTTAACCATCCTAGGTTGCCTAATTGTAAAATAAGGACAACCATTTTGGATTGTTTTGAGTAAATAATTATATGCCTAAAGTTATTCATGTCAAAGAGTGTCATCGTCATGCTAGCAGTAGTAGCAGTGATTAAATCCTGAAAAAGTCTCCAAAGTAGTATTCCTTTTTTCTAGCATTGGTCTTCTCCAATCTTCTGCAAGGAGGAATCTTTTAAATTTACAGATCTGAACAAAACAATGACTCTGGGCTGCACCCCACTGTCTTTCCTATGTAGTGCAAATGTATTAGTAAGACCAAGACTTTCTTTTGTTCTTCTTATTTTATTTTATTAATTTTTTTTGAGACAGGGTCAAAGGAGGTAACTTAGACTGACTGTCCTGAAGTGCAATGTGTAGACCAGGCTGGCAGGCTGATCTAGAACTCAAAGAGATCTACCTGCCTCCTCAGAGCTGGGATTAAAGGCATGTGCCACCAAGTTCAGTTTTTTTTTTCTTTTAACTCAAGTTGTTAAAGCAATGTTAATGATCAAGCCAGTCTACAGTTGAAGTTTTCTGTGATTAAAAATAATAAACATTCATTTCTTTTTTCAACTTTCAAAAATCTATATAGAACTTAAAAGTTATCCCAATTTATCTTTTTGTGTTGCTTTTAAGTACTTATTTAATTTTTAGGGTCAAAATATCAAATAGCCTCTAATTTAACTGAATACTGCTGATATAGTACAAAATTCACACCAACTATTTTCTTTAGGACTTTGTCATACTGTCACTTCCTATAAAATAAGCATAAAACAACTATGACTTGCATGGCTTCAGGGATTTCTGTGGGTGTTTGTACATGGAGGTGAATTGATGCTTATCAAGAGTTGTATTGATGATATAATGTAATGATACATAATACAACAAAATCTCAAAACTATTATATTATAAAAATTAATTTAGAGTATGTATACTTAGGCCTACCATTTGGAAACAAAAGCATTCTGTAATCATTCTATGCAAGGAAAAGAAAATACAATGAAATTTACTTAAATCACTTTATTTTGGGATAAACAAATGTATAGTTACAGATTAAATAATAGTGACAGAAAATAAAACTAATACTGATGTGTTATTTAAGCATTAACAATTAGCCTATCTTACTGACCAGAGGTAATATTTACTATATATGTAAATATGGAGGTTATTTCAGCTTAGAGTAACATTCTTTTTTAAATTATTATTATTTTATTTTATTACTTAAAAAAATACCAATCCAAATTCCCACTTCCTCCCCTCCTCCCACTTCCCTCCCACTCCCTCCACACACTCTCCCCCCCATCCCCCCTCCAATCTTAAGAGAGGGCAAGGCACCCTGCCCTGTGGGAAGCACATGGCCCTTCCCACTTCATCCAGGTTGAGCAAGGTATACATCCAAAGAGAATAGGATTCCAGTGCCATTTAACATTTTATCATGAAGGGAAATAAGGGCAGGAACTCAAGATGAGAACCTGGAGGCAGGAACTGAAGCAAAGGCTATGGAGGAATGCTGCATATACTGGCTTAAACCTCATGGCTTTCTCACCCTACTTTCTTTTTATGATATAATTTTAAATAGGTTTTTTAACTGAAAGCTATATGATTACCCCACAGCCAACATTATCCCAAATGGAGAAAAATTACAATGCTATTAAAATCAGGAATGAGATAGGGCTGTCCCCCTTTTATATAAATTATATGACTAGGCCTGTCTTAGATGGCATTGAATGTCAGGCAATACCCCTTACCCATCATGGGAAAGCATCCAGGTCAAAACACATTTCCTATCTTAGGTTGAGGCAGCCCCCGAAAAACCTCTCCTGTCATTGGCTCACTAGTCACCCATCACTGAGTTCAGCCAGACTCATGCTGAAAGATCCTCTGGGGCAATAGCTAAGAGGACCTGCCATGTGGCAACATTGACCTGAGCTTTCCTTTGGTTCTGGTACCATGAAACCATGAAGATGATGCTCCAGAACATGTAAGCACTCCTTAAGGAGGTTGTGCCTGCTCAATCCTAAACAAGTCTGCCCAAATTGGAGCCCTTTAAGTAAGGTCTCAGTGCTGGTGTGAGGAACCCTGGTATAGTTAACTAGAATAATCTCAAGAACCAATTTGTAAATTGTGCGCTCCAGGGTTCATGAATAACAGCAATAAGCTTTTACTGTATAACCTAGAAGTGGTCGTTAACCAAAACCAATAGCAAAACTAACTGCAATATTCATTTGTAAATTTAGCTCAATTTGAATGGCCAAGGCATTTACAACCTGCCCTGAGAAGGTATCCATTGTGCTAGCAGAAGCAACTGATTGACTAATGGAAAGTCCAGCAGCCTTAGCTGCTCTGGCAGCCACAGCAATGGCTGCCAATATCATGGGATGGTCATAGGTAGAGGAACAATCCTTGGCACTCGGACCACCGCAGCCAGGTCCTCAGGATCCCAGCAACTCTTCAGTTGACAGGCCAGTGTCTATTTGATCTCTTGGCTCTGTCCAGTCTTCAGACTTCTGGACAGGAAAATCCACAGCACGCCCATAACCAGATATTTATTATTTTTACTTTTCTATCTGACTAATATTTTCATAAGAAAATGTGAAATAATGTGATGATACAAACTGGCATATGAGGACGAGTTACTTATAGAACATGGGGAAGAGTATACCTGTCCAACCAGGCGAGGAGACTCTTGGCTGCTCCAATCAGATCCACAACTGAGGTCAGAAAGTCATTTGGCAATTTTCTGCTGGTCCTCCCATCATAATGGCCACTCCTTCTCCTTCCTGTTATGAAGTTCTGTAGATTTTTGGCAGATGCATTCAACTTGTGAGAAAGGGTTTTTAGATTTTCTGTTTCTAAGCCATAATTCTGAATAATAAAACAGAGAAACGTATATTTAATGTCAATATTTTCTTTATTTATTAAAAATTTATTGATATAAAAAGAACTGAATGAGTACTTTATTATGCAATGGCAGTGGGACAATGTTAGAATTACAAATGAGTAAGATAGATACCTGGCTTAGTGGAATCCAGTCAAATGCGTGTTTGGGGATACCAAGGAAGACAATTATAATAAAGATAGCTGTACTAGCTAGTTTTTATGTCAACTCGGAACAACCTAGTCATCTGAGAGCTGAGAACTTCAATTGAGAAAACGTCTCTATAAGATCTGGCTGTCCACAGGAAAGTCTGTAGGGCATTTTATTGATTAATATTTGATGTGGGAAGGCCCAGACCACTGTGGGTGGTGCCGTCCCTGAATTGGTGGTCCTGGGTACCATAAGAAGTCAGAGGAGGCCAGGAGGTGTTGGTAAACACCTTTAATCCCAGCACTCGGGAGGCTGAGACAGGCAGATCTTTGTGAATCCAGGACAGCCAGGTCTACAGAGCAAATTCCAGGACAGTCAGGGCTGTTACACTGAGAAACCCTGTCTCAAGAAACAAAAACAAACAAAACAAAAAAAGGAAAAGAAAGTAGGCTGAGCAGGCCATGAACATGAAGAAGAACCCTGTAAACATGACTCTTTAATGGCCTCTGTATTTCTTCCTGTTCCCGGGTTTCTGTCCCGATTATCTCAATGATGCACTGTGATATGGAAGCACAGCAAAAACAAATAAAAGAGAAAGAAACAAAACAGCAGACAGTGGAAGACAGGAGATAAGAAAGGTTTTCTTTCCAATCAGTTTAAATCCTTACCAGTGCACACAGAAGGTCAACTGCCTCCAAGATTAGCTCCTGATGGCCAATATGGCTGACTCCCAGATCTTCCAGTTCCTGATGTGTGATGCGTAGCAGCTGATCTCCACTGATCTTCTCCCTCTCAAAGTTCTTAATATACTGCTGCAAACAATCATCAAGACCTACAAAATAAAATTAAAAAAGAAAAAAAATACAAAAGAACAATTGTTGATATAAATCAATTGATGGACAGGTGGAAAGCAAGCAATAACTCCTACCATGCCACAACTTAAATCCATTTTGACATTGGTCTAGTCAAATCACCCATTTTTTCTCATTCTATATGTGAGCTGTAGCAAAAAATAATTATATTCTTCGTTGTTTGATGTGGGATTCTCCTCTGTATGTTGTGAATACCATCTGTTAACAAAAAAGCTGCTTTGTGCCTATTGTAGGGCAGAAGAGGGCAAGGCGGGAATTCCAAGCAGACAGAGGAGGAGAGAAAAGGCAGAGTCAAGGAGAAGTCATGTAGCCACTGCAGGAGACAGATACCGGAAAGAACCTTACTGGTAGGCCGCAATCATGTGGCCATACACAGATTAATAGAAATGGGTTAATTTAAGGTATAAGAGCTAGTCAGTAAGAAGCATAAGCTAACAGGTCAAGCAGTGTTGTAATTAATATAGTTTCTGAGTGATTATTTTGGGTCTGGGCAGCTGGGAAACAAACAAGCAGACTTCAATAACAATTGCTAGATCACTATTCCTATTCAAACTTTTCCAGGTAATCACTGAAAACCTCACCTGTCTTCTAACTTCTAATTTGAGACAAATATTTAGAATGAATAACTACTTTTAGAGTTAGATTATCATACCATTTCATTTTCTTTAACACTATTTCAGAGGGAGGGGCCTCATTCTTCTTACATAAGCCTAATGAATCTATCTTCCTGTACTTTGAACTCCTCTCTTCTATCATTGTACCACTACTTCAATAACTTTAAAGCTGAATACTTTGTTTCAATAAATTTCTATTCTTTGATGTCTTTTATACTTAAAACTCTGCTATCCTAAAGATAAACTTTAAAAAACATTTTGATTTTCTTCTGGAAATTTTATAGTATTGGTGAGGACAAAGAGGAGATTGGGAGGTGTCAAATAAGGGGACTATTGTTATCAGTTTTAAATCTTGGCCATGCTCCAACGAGTATATGAGCAATACTAACTGGACTTAATGTTTTTAATTTGGAGTCGGAGGGGGTGCTAGATGGGAGGGTAGACCTGGGAGGAATAGAAAGCTAGTGTGATTGGGGTGCACTGAATAACATTAAGGAATAATTAATAAAAATATCATGTTGGGGGAAAAAAAATTAAAACAGCAAGATTAAGTAACTCCGTAAGTATACATAGTAAGTAACTGATCAGAAAATCAGAACTAGAAGATTTGAAGTTGGATCTTTTCTGACTACATCAGACCACCTAAAGACTAAAAAAAGTTTCCAAAAATAAAGTGTATTATATTCGTGTAAAAAAAAAAACCAAGGCAGTATAACGGGCAGAGAACACTCGAGCTATTTATATGAGACAAAATAACATGAGGTAACAGCGTCCCATTCTTTTTCACACAGGTGAAAACAATGCTAGCAAAAACTAGCAAGGACTGAATTCCATGCTGGCATACTTCCAGGAAGTGAGGACAATGTAAAGTACCTGACAGACACATAGTCTAAAGCTCCATTCAAATAAACGAAAGGGAAAACACCGCCACTAGTCTTTCAACAGCACTGAAACCAATACAATACATGCTGACTTGGCGAACGCTCCCTTATTTTAGTCAATGCCGTCATTCAGTTGCCCTCTGCATAAACACGGCTGCAATCTAACAAGTAGCATACAATTCATTTTCACATGAACTCTCAAGAAAACCAAATGAAATAGAAAAAGAAGGCGACTTTCTTCTAGGCCTGTACGCAGTTACTCTGTCCTAATTTATTTTAGAAAAAGACCATGACTTCAACAGCTTTCTGTTAGTTCCAAAAAAGTAGTCATGCTGAAGATCAATACTACTTTCTATATATTTGTGTGTGTGTTCACTGTGTGCCAAGCACTAATCTAAGTGCTTTACAAATATTTCCTTATTTAATTTTTATAGCAAACTTATTAGCTGCATATCATTGTCTTGATTTTTTTGGAAGAAACCTGAAAATTTGGGGCCAGGTCTAGGATTCTACACCTTATAAATGGTAAGGTGGGGCTCTAAGGCAAGTTCCTTTTCTCTGCTTTTAAATACTACACTGAATTGAGAATGGAGGGAAAATGGAAAGGATTGCTTACAATTCTCCAGAGTAACCATTTTGATCATACCAGTAATTAATGTCTAAACCTTTTTCCATTTACAAAGCTAAAGATCTTGTTAAAAAGTTTAAATTACGATTTCTATCAAAAATAAATTTAACTGTTCCATTTACAGATGCAAAATTCAGTAGGACCATGAAAATTGAAAGTAACAAAAATATGGTTACCCATATAATATGAAGCTAAAATAGTGATACAAACAAGTGCACACCAATGAAGATCAGATTTATTAGAATGTACAAAGCACTATCACATAGACTCTAAATTGTCTAGGGGTTAATGTGAAGGAGGAAATATGATTAGATATAATTTAAAACATTCAGTAGGTAAAAGCAAGCCAATCACTCATTTAAGACTATCTGTTCATGATCTTTAAGTCAGCAAAAAGATTTCTTAAGGAAATATATACCCCTGCACCTAGCCTGAGCAACATCATAGACCCAACCCTGTTGGTGGAGGTGTGGGTGAGCCAGAGCCAAAGTAGTGATTGCCAGAAAACTTAGCCCCACCCTTATCTGCCATAGGGTGGCATGGACTGGAGGGAGATGCTCCCCCCTCACCAATGCACAATAGAGCCAACACTGTTAGCACAGGTGTGAATGGGCTAGCTCTGAAGTTGTGAGCGTGGGTGGGGAAGAGCTGCCCCTGGCCATCAACACCTGGACAGATGGAAGAGCTGGCCCTGTGGTCATAAGAGCAGAAGAACTGTCCCTGAACCCCACTAGCTGTACCACCTGGGAGAGCAGGCCCTGCACTTCACCTGGGTAACACAATAGAGCCAACCCTGTTGGTGGAGGTGTGGGTGAGCCGGCCTCAAAGCTGTAATTATGGGAGAGCTGGCCCCACTACTCATCTATGAGGTGGCAGTGTGGGAAGGTGAGAGATGGCCCCCCATACGCCTTGCTCCTTACTGCCTGCAACAAATGACAGAGCAGACCCTTCCCAATACCAGCTTTAGCACTCAGGAAACGGGTCCTGCCCCTCACCTAGGCAGCACAGCAGAGCTGCCCAGTGGTTGGAAGTGTCCATGTTACAGACAAAGGAGAGAGCTCTCTATTACTCATCAGATATGTGCTACCATGGGCAGAGGAGAGATGTTCCCCCACCTCCTGCCAATAAACACCTGAGAGAGGTGGAAGAGCTGGTTGGGGTCGGTAGAGCTCAGGGCTGCCCCTACCCTTCACCAGCGGTAGTACTTGGAAGAGTGGCCTCTGTGCCTAGCCTGGGCAACACAATAGAACTGGCCCTAGTGGTACAGGTGTGGGAGAGCCCACCCTGAGGGAGTGAAAGGAGAAATGGCCCCACCCCTCACTCATCACTGCAAGAGGTGAATTAGTAGGGGCAATGCTGGAGATGAGGACAGGGGAGGATTGGCTGGTATATGACTTGGCCTGCCCCAACATCCACCCCATCGATGACCTGCTGGAGCATGTGAAGGAAGCTGACTCACATACCCAAAGCTATAGGCTCTCCACAACAAAGGGCAACAATTGGATGTCCAAGAAGAGTCCTAGTAAGGACCCAGCCTCAATAGTGTAGTAGAAACTAGAGGCCTTGAACCAGACCAATGACTTTGCAATGACCACTTGCAAGTAAATATATATGGACAAAGAAAGGGGTTTACTGCGCGACTCATTGTGTAACACTGAAGATTCCATGGCCAGATTTTTAACTTTTTCCATTTTCTTTTTTTCTCTTAAACTTTGACCGGGTGGGGGGGTGCAGGCGTGCATGACAGATGCAAGGGGATGGGGAAATGAATGTGATCAAGATACATGGTGCAAAAGACATAGAATAAATCAAAAGAAATGAATACTGTGCTCTGCGTCTAGTCATAGTGGGTTGTCATGTAGAAAAATGTATGTTTAAAATATTTCCTTTAATGATGCTACAATGTACAAGAACATATGATTCCATATAACAACATATTAATAGAACCTATAATTCTATAGATTAGATTCATAAAGCATATAAAATGCTATTCAGATGAATTGCAAATAAATAGTATTACAATATATTAATCAGGAATCTCAGGTTGCTAGGAGAGTACGTTCTCGAGGGAAGACAGGTTCTGGGGAAAACAGAAACCTTATTTCCATACTACATTTCCCCAACGCTCTCATTTTTTTTTTCAGATTTAAACCAGTTTTCTAAAGTACTGCCTGCATCTTACATTTTTACCTCATTATCCACCTCTATATGATTCCCCTTTGAAAGATCTCCTGGCTTTTTCCTATAGCATATTAATATTTTCCCAAGTCCTGATACCGACTTTTAATTATTCATTCAACAAGCAATTAGTAAATGCCTGTTTGAGAGTCAGGTATTGTTCTAGGGAGCATGGAGAAGAAGGTAACCGAATCTGACATGGTCCCTTCTTTCCTGGAACTAATATTTTATTAACAGAGAAGCACAGGAATTATGGAATCATACAAATGAGCCTAACAATTCACTAAGGGGAAGGTAAGGGAGGATAGAAGAGAGGAGGGCAGGGCAGGGGAGGGGAGAGGAGGGGAGGAGAAGGAAATGACCTTGCTCCAAATCAGGAGACCAAGGACAGGCTTTCTGTGGAGAAGGGAAGAACTGCTATCTGGAGAGAAGTAGGAGTGAAGGAGGCAGTGAAGGAGGAAAGACCACTAGAAGCTGGAAACAGCAAAGTCCTAGGGAGACAAAATGAATGGGAAGTATGAGAAAATGAAAGGAAGACTAAAGGTTTTGTTCATACCTATGCTGTGAAAAACTCTTTGGCTTCAATATATAGAACAGAACTGGTAACCACATTGCCTTTTGTTAAAGAAAGAGTAATCTATTAGTAACTAATCTTTCAGCTTGGTCCCATCACTCGGTCAGCTATTTCAGCCATATTTATTGAGTATTCATCTTTCCCAAACATGTCTTTCTTTAAGACATTTGATTTATCAGTCCTAATAATCCTTTTTACTATCTACTGAGTAAGCTACACGAATGAAAAGACCTACAAGAAAAAGATACTATTTAGAATTATACTCATGTTCTCCTCAATAAGAAATCGTAATTAAAAGACAATGTGGCAAGTGGTACAAATTTCATTTAAAATCCTGCATCTAGAAGTATGCTAAGATAGATGTCAATTTTACCTTTAGGTTATAGACTATCATTTTAACTCAGGCTTATTACTTCTGACTGAAATAGCCTCAATAAAAGAAAATCTTGGTGTAAAGTAACTGCAGAAAAAAATGGCCTCATCCACTATTAAACTTTATCTCAATACATCTCCCATGATCCTTTCTTAACATGAAACAAATCTTATTCATAATTTAAAATTCAGAGTTTAAAGCCACATTCACTGTTACACAAGCATTTTCCTAAGACAAATGAATGTCAACATTATTACTATTCAATAATCTCTTGGGGGCAAATAACAAAAAAGAACCCTGTGGTGTCTTATAATTTTTATGACTATGACAAGTTCTAAAATATATGGCCCAATTTAATTTTTAGTCAATATATTTTGTTACTAATCACTAAACAAATCATTTGCTATGCTGAACATTAAAACTGAAATGAAACTACAAATATTTCTTTTACAACATATGAGGGTTTATAATTAGAAAAAACTGGCCTACATTAATCCTATAACTATTTCTGATAGGGTATCAAAAATATAAGCAGTGTTTTACTTTATGTATCGGAATCAATATGAAATATGTAATTTAATTGTCAGATATTTTACTCTATTACACAAATAAGATATTTCAGACTATTTCCCCCTAAAGTTTGTGAAATATCTTTAAAATAATTCTGATTACTCACAATAATAACTTTTCATTGTTTTCAAATTATATATACATATAAAGTATTTGCAGATATGATCGAATCAGATTATTATTTATTTTGTCTGGGGTGTGATCTGGGATTTTGTATTCCTATCATTCAGAAATAACAATAAATAGACCAGTTCACTCGCCCAAGGCAAAAAGAGAATTGTTCTTTTTATTTTTTAAAGTTTTATCATTATCAAATAGGATACATAATAATACAATTCTTGGAAATAATAGGTTTATGTTTCCAAGTATCTAGAAATTATCAATTCGGGATGAAAGCTCATATAATGACAGAAAAGAATCAACAAATATTTACTATAAATGTATAGACTACAAAGAAGCACATTTTTCATGCTTTAAGTTAGACAAAATAAAGGGGAGGAAAAAGCTACTCCAAACTAATTTTAATTATGTTTATTTAAATAAATCCCTAATTGTATATTTAAGGGCTTATAAAAAGCAAAACATTAAAAACATTAGAGAAATTCTCCAGCCTAAATGAGCAATAGTCTCATGCTTCCCAATATTGTTACTATCAGTTATAAATGGTATAGTAGGAGATTTTCAAAAATAGTAAAGAAAGCACAAATGATAAGCTCCAAAACTATGGGTCTTTCGATATTTCCTATAATTACTTTTCTCAGTAAAATACTTTCATTACACAAGCATTCTATTACAATCAATGTCTACTAGAGAATCAAATGTGAAAGATGTCATTAGAAATTACTGCTCTCCTCAGCGCTCAGGGACTATTAAAGAGAGGGAGGAGAGACTTAGGAGTTAGAGGATGGAGAACACAGAGAACAGGGCCCACCAAATCAACTAAGCAAGGCTCACAGGGGCTCACAGAGATTGAAGTGAGCAAGTATGCGGCCTGCATAAGTCTGCACTGGGTTCTCTGCATACATGCTGTGGTTGTTTAGCTTGGTGTTCTTGTTGGACTCTTAACAGTGGGAGTGGGGGTGTCTGACTCTGACCTGCTCTTGGGACCGTTTTCCTCCTACTGGGTTGCCTCGTCCAGCCTTGATATGCGGATTTGTGCCCAGTCTTATTGTATCTTGTTTCATTACATTCAGTTGTTTCATGGAGGCCTGCTCCATTCTGAAGGGAAATGGAAAAGGAGTGGATCTAGGGGAGAGGAAAGCTGAAGGACTGGGAGGAGTAAAGGGTGGGGTCTGGATGGATTTTAGAGAAG